ATAATTGCGCTCGAAATATGCTCCGTTGACGAACATCGCTGGCCATAACTTGATTCCTGCAAAATAAAATAATAAAGTCGCAGAACTGGTCCAAAAAAAAATATATATATATATGTATATCCTTAGGACCAGAATATATATACACATAGTTTTGACCTCATCCTATTTATATTTTTACTAGTATTTCTATGGCAAGACCAGGAAACCAGAAGCGATCTCGTAAGACAACTGTTTTTTTTTCACATAAAACAGGGAAAAAAGAATGGTGTGAAAAAAGAAGAAAATCAAGTTGGAGAGGTGAAATGAGACGCAAAACTAGAAAATAGGAAAAACGAAGTATTTATGGGGAAAAGTACGTGCAAAACCTAAAGGAATGCAAAATTCAGTCAAAAATCCTGAAAAATTTTTTTCGAAAAACATAAGAAATTCACCGACGATGCTAAAAAAATAAAAATTGCGCAGATAAGGGGACATTTGGCAGTTACGTTATTCTAGTTAGGACTTTGCAAAAATTTGTCAAGGGTAGCGAAAACCGGAAGAGGTATCATTATCGAAAGTCATCCCAATCATTGCTAAATCGCCTTTGGGATTTCTAATTGGGAATTAATCTTGAATAAAATTGATTTTGAATGTTTGCATAATAAAATAATTCCATTATTTGTCATATTATGTGCCTTACAGGATAAGAGCGAAGGATGGCAAATAGAAAAGCCGATTATTGAATGGTATCCACGAAATCTACCAATGTTGAAACAACATAGAAGAGTGCATCAGTACGACGAAATGATCTAATGAAACAGCCAAATGAAAATGCCTGAATGAGAGCGACCCAGACAGAGAAGAATGGAGAAGTTGCTAGCTGCATCAATGGCGAGAAGAAACGCAATGATGAAACCGTAACTGACCAAAGTATCAAAGCATGCTTTCCAAAGAAGAGCCAAATAAAATGCTAATTAATTTTCCTGCCTGTACATGTTTTTATGCTTCAAAGTGTTTCATACAATTATACAATGAATTCAGTAAAGTTGCAAACACTGAAGCATTTGGCTCATCCAGAAGAAGTAACTTAGAAAACATACCAGCTCGATGAGTATTGAGCATGGAGTAGTAGCTCAGTGTTTCTCCAATTTGTGTTGTGGCACATTCAATCAGCCGATACCGCGAATACTCGGTGAGACCGGTCAGACAGCGCGAGAATGCTTCATAGATGTTCGCCAGACCCTGGATGCAGGTCACCAGTCCAAGATAACGTCGCGGGAAAAACTGAAACAAAACACAGTACGCACTTCTGGAAAACTCATAGTTGCCAGCATTAGCTAAAAATTTTACATGGGTAGAATTTAAAGTCACTGCTTGTGCCCATCCTGAAGAAATCGTTTTTTTATGTTCTAGCCTCAAGACATCAGAAGCTTTCCCCCGCAAAATTGGCATGCGCCAGTGCTTTCGCAGCATCGTAAAATCCCAAATCCTTTTTGGTGCCAGGCTACGTGTTATTATCCACAAAATAAGCAGAAAATCCGTTTGTGACGTGGCAAAAATAAATTTTTTGTAAGTCAGAGCAATTTATTACAAAAATGCATAAATGCGCCATCTTCTAATAAAGAAAGAAAAAAGAGAAAAATAGTAATAATAATAGCAAACAAATTATTAACAATAAAAATTTTAATAGTAATAGCAATAATAACGAGAAATAGTAATGTATTAATACGAATTTCAGAATAGTAATCATCTGTAA